AAAACAGCGCCCTCGGACGGAACTTTTCAAAGCACTCTGTAGATTTTAAATGGACGCGCACAGAGCAAAAGCTTTCTCTGAGCATCACTGTTCCAAATAAACATGTACAAAATATTTTTTTAATCTCATTTAATTTTTAGAATCTTATATTTTTTTTATTCAATTTGTGTGTATTTTTTTAATTCTAAGAATCTTTTTGTCTTAAATAGAAAAACAATTGTTTTTAATCTAATTTAAGTCATTAATTTTTTTTTTTCTTTTTCATAACCTTTTTTCTTTTTTAAATTAATTTTCTTTTAAATTTTAGTTTATATTATTCCAAAGAGAAAAATATTTTTGTTGATTTCATTTAATTTTAAAGGAACATATTTTATATTTCTTCTTTTTTAATTCAAAATCCTTTTAATTTTTGGATTTCGTTTTTTGAAAAGAAATATATCGTAGCACAGTGTGAGATTTAGTCAATCTGGGACGCCAAAATGAAAAAATATGCTTGAAAATCGATCATATGTACATATTTTGTAATTTGTTAGAAAAGATCACAATTGTTACAAAAATAAGCATAAAAGAGAATAGAAGAAATACAATTCGTATGATAACAGTTATCAAACGTTGCATGCTATTGAACAGCATGCAAAAACAAATTTGCTAGCTTGGATCAATGACAAAATTTTGAGTGATCAAATTGAAGTTGTGCGCGTTTTTTTCGCCAAAAAGTTTTTTTGTATTAAAGGTCAATACTTGCACTAAAAATTTTTGCTATACACGACCCTTATATCTGTACTTAAGTGCTTTAATCAAATTATTTTAAAATCAGCTAAAAGGTAAAACCAATTTCAAAAATCTTAAATCTTTCATAGACTATAACTTACAAGTTCGGCGTAGTTCGGCTATAACAAAGAATACAGGATGAGCGTACATACTCATAAAACAGAATTAAAAAATAAAATCTTGCCCATAGGCATCTTTTTTCAACTTAACTGATATATTGCACGAGGATCTTTAAGAAATTTGCTTGAGTGAGATAAAGGTGAAAAGCCGTAATTTAAGATATGTATATCAACTTGAAATTTGGGATAACAATAATAATAGATTGGCGCTTACACATATGTTAGTGTTTGGCCGAGCTTCTCCTCCGATTTGTGGCGGGCTCCTTGATGTTGTCACACAAAGCGGAGAGACCTACAGTTTTACGCCGACTCCGACCGCTGTTAAGAAAAAAACCTTTTTTTTCTAAATTTTTTTTTTGGCGATGTTGCTTTGAATAGTGCTTGAACCCAGGTGCTGCGGAGTGGAAGCGCGCACTGCTTACCATTACACCATAGCGGCCGACAAATTTGGCATGCGTGATAAGAAAAACATAGACTTATGTAAAAGGCGACTAGTTTCGAACTCACTCAGTCTATAGAGGGAGTCCCAGTGATAAGGGTTTTCTTTTGGGAAGTGATAGGTCTAGCCGAACAAAAAATTTTATGGGGTTTGGGATCTAAAATGCCACCCTGGGGAGTTAAAGGGTTAGGAAGGTGATCGGCAGTAATTCTAGAAAAAAAAGTGCTCGTGCTTAAACGAAAAGCTCTAAAGAAAAAGGAGATATGGAGCTTCTTTAGCTAATTGTATCTGCTTTTGTTTTTTAGTTTTTAGGTAAGTCAGGGCATTATAAAGTCAAAATTTCAAGAAGTTTTGTCCCTTGTTTTACTTTGGCGGCCATTTTGGTATAAAAAATATACTATTGACCTATATTTTTAATTTTTTTTTTCAACATGGCCATGAAATTTCCTTCAAATTTGCCCAACCTATGTCATCAAATTTTTTTGTTTTTACTCCGGAAAAAATATACTTCAACTAGTCTTTTTGGTATAAAAAAAATTCGATTAACCTATATTTTTAATTTTTTTCTAAGCAAGATGTATTGTACGGTGAATTTCTGCCTTATGGTTTTGAGCGTTCTAGTTATGACTTAGTTCTAGCGGTGAGTTTTGTCATTGCTATAGCCTAACCAGTGCTAAAAATATGTAATCATATTTACGCATGTTAAGCTATGAAGTGGGAGGTACATTTTAGACAAGGTGCTCAATAAGCACGAAATCCAAATAGAAAAAATAGAAGAACCAAATTTTTTGTGGATACTAAGAGAGTTGATGCATGTATACAAGGTTGTTAAAGACAGTAAGGTCGGGATTGTAATGCTCTCACCCCTATGATTGTCCTATATTGAAAAAAGTGTACCCTTATTTTTTTTTTTTTTTTAAATCAAAAAATATTTAGAGGTCTCTCAAAGCGCTCAAGATTTTCCATGTATTTTTGTATGGGAAAAAACCAATTTTCGTAGAAATGGTATAGAATTCTTGAAAATCAATATTTTTCGATCTGTAAACCCTGGTTCTCTTCAGGAGACCTTCAATAATAATACCCAATTGTTCATTTAACCATTTTTAATACTAACTATTTTTTGTTGTTTCGCCTATTGCATTTTTCGGGGTTTTGTGGGTTCTTCGCGGGCATATAAATTATAGTTGCGTCGAAAAAAATGGTTAACTAAACAACTGAGTATTATCACTGGGAATCATCTGCAAATAAACAGAGTTTTCTGATAGAAAAATTTTGATTTTTAAGAATTCTACACCTATTTCTACGAAAAGTTGTTTTTCTCCATATAAAATACATGGAAGACTTTGGGCGCTTTGAGCGACCTCTAAATATTTTTTGATTTCAAAATAAAAAAATAGGGGTATGTTTTTTTCGGTATAGAACAATCCTAGGGGGTGAGAGCATAAAAATTCCGACTTTACTTTTTCACATGCATTTTTGGACCACCCTGTATACACAAAGCCATAATACAAAGTTTTGACCACTCTCAGGGGAGATATGGGTCGTACAGTACGTACGTACGTAAGTATGTAAATATACATATATACATACATAATGTCATACTGGCGAATTTTTTTGCGTAATAAAATTTTTCGTGGCTACAGTATTATTGTGAGTAATTCGAGCGTTGCATACTTACATATGTATATGTAACACTCACGAGTTAAGATGTAATAAAATTTCAATTTCAATCGGAATCAATGAAAGGCTCAGATATACATACATACATACATATGTGCTTACTACATATATGTAAGTATGTACACAAATCGGAACTTCACCTGCTAACTCGTTTGCAATTAAATTAGCCAATAAAAGACAGAATAGTCGCATAAATCATAGTCAGCGCAAAATACTTTTACACCCACTCAAATTTCTGCATAACAAAACAAACATAAGTCATCCGTAATATGGCAGCAATAAAAGACGAGTAGCATTTAAGAATCATACAATACATAATAGTGCAACAATAAATCATAAGGAGAGAAAAAAAGAAGTGAAACAGAAAAAGATTCTCTAAGAGCAAAGGCAAATAAATAACATAAATTTCAAATTAGGTACGGCAATTGCAATGAAATTAAGTTGAAAAGAAAAACCAACGAGATATACATACATATGCATGTACATTAGACCGGATAAAAAATCGATCATTTCTTTTTATGAATTTTCCATAAATTCACTCCACAAAAAAGTTATTCAAGGTTAAATTCGTACATACAGCGGCGAGAATGTAAATAGGGAAAATACATTTTAGCAAGTTTTGGCTACTGTTTTTGTTTATAAAATTTTTATTATTTTTTTACAAAAATATATCTCGTTATCTAGAAAAACATGTATGTAAATTAAAACAGAACATTTCTATAAAAACCGACAAATTTTAACAAACCTTGTTCAAAATTTTACACTTTTTAATCAAATTCTTATTTATTTTTATTTTTTTGAGTATGCAGTTTTGTAGACGAATAAACTTTAGTAAAACAAAGTACAAGTTTAAAGTAGCTAGGACTTACCTTTGATTTTTGGCAATTGTTTGACGCGCATTTTCTTCCATACAAAGTATGTTCGACAATTTTTTTGTCTGAAGAAAATAAGCAACACCTACTAAAAATTTGCACTTTGTGCCACTAAAATTTAATGGAATACAAAACTGTATTCTCAAAATCGCTGCGCTTTTGACCGGTGTCTTTTTCTGTGTCGCTTTTCGTTTAACCAGTCTAATATACATACACTGCCGGAACAAAGTATTGGCACAGCAAATTTTTCACAATATATTCAACAATTTTTATTCTAATATTTTTCCGCAAATTTTGTATAAAAATATGGTTCATTCAACAACAAAACGCATAAAAATAAAATTCCTAAACTTTGTGCAAAACTCGCGAAAATTCAGCAAATTTTCATAAAAATTTTCAACTTTTTAATCCGATTTTCAAGAATTTTTTTTAGTATGCAGTTTTGCATCCCATTAAATTCTAGTAGAAAAGATGCAAGTCCGGAGTTAGTCAAAAATCGCGTTGATTTTTGAAATTTTTTTTTTGTTGAAGGTGTTTTGCATTTTTCCCCTATAAAGTATTTTCGAGAAAAATTTTTTGTATGGAAGGGACTGCGTGAAAAAAATTGCCAAAAATCAACGTTAATTCCTAGCTACTTAAAACTTGCACTTTATATAAAATCTGCATACTCAAAAAAATTCTAAAAAACCTGATCAAAAAGTTGAAAATTTTCATGAAAATTTGCTGAATTTTCGCGAGTTTTCCACAAAGTTTAGGAATTATATTTTTATGTTTTTTGTTGTAGAACGAACTATTTTGTATACGAAATTCGCGGAAAAATGTAAGAATGAAAATTGTTGCTTATATTGTGAAAAATTTGCTGTGCCAATACTTTGTCCCGGCAGTGTACGTACATACACACACATATTTACATGATTATTATATCGTCTGCAGACAAAAAGTAATAAATACATATCTTCATGCATAGCATAAAATCCAATGACTTCTTCACCTCCACCAACGCATGGTCATTACTCACTGCCACGCTTTCAATAATATTTATGTACAATCAATATTATGTGATAACGAAAAAATAAAGTAAATATGAATGTAACGGCGTAATCGCAGCAATAAACTTACATTGTAATTTTTCATCCAAGTTTCCCTTCGATGTCACGGATAGGGCGCGTATGAATTCCTCAAATTCTATTGAACCATCCTGCGTTGTTTTCATTCGAATAGCAGCGGTTTACGTAGTCCAGAATAAGCAGCAGAGATAAATATATATGAAAAGAAGAAAATATGTGGTTGGAAAAGAGAGAGGGAGAGAAGAAATTAAATACAAAATGTATACTGCGAAATGCCAGTATCTGGCATAATCAGGAAGGGGAAGGGGAAGGGGAAAGAGATGCGCGCACACAACAAAACACTGATCAACAAAACAGCAGCACAACATCATTTATTCGCCTCAAAACCCATCACCCTGACGCAATCGTTAAAGCAACTTTTTTATAAGTACGAGTATATCATAAATTTGTTTTGCCCTTACGTCCATCGTTATCAATGATGGGCAGCACAGGCAGAACTCCATAAGCAAGTTCAAAAGTTTTACACATGCTTATGGAGTTCTACCAACGCTACCCATGCCATATCTACATATATGTATGTAAACTATGGTGGCAGTAAAGTGACTGTCAGCCACACACAAAGTTGTATAATTAGCTCTGCTGACCAAAATTAATCCAGACTGCCCCTAGACAATGTGGCAGCAGCAGCAGCTAGCGAGCGAGTAGTCGAGTGAAATATCTAGATTCTAGACAGCTGCTGCAAAGCTAGTACTTATGTACGTACGTACATAAATGAGTGAGTGCACTTAACACAGGTGATCAAATTGTTGAAATTTGTTGGGAAACATTGCTCTGCACAAAGGTACAGCCCGATTCACTTGTATAGGTACAAATTCTCTCCTCGAGATCCAATGTTATATCTGCACTTTCAAGCATCAGAGAAGTTCATTTTTCATCGCATTTTGGAGAATGGTGAAGTTCGATGAAAAGTGGGGGAAATGAAGAAAACATCTTCATTACTTTATTTTGATTCAGTTGAATAGGTATAGCACTGCGTGGTTTCCTTATGTGTATAGGAAAGTTATTAAAATTACACTTAAGATTTTTTAAGAGTTTTAAGGATAATTAGAGCTAAAGCAGAGCAAGAATGGGCGAAGCAGGCGCACTTTCAACTTTCAACGGTAAGGTTTCAAGTTATTACAATTACAAGAATACATTTCAGAATTTTTGTTATTTTATATAAAAAACCATTCTTGGGCTAACGATTTTGTTTTCTTCAACCCGCGATCTTTTTTTTCATATCGCATCGGTACCACCCTTGGCCATTATAAGTACATATAAGCCAAGTAATGCCATCCTGCACGAATATAGTGTACCAGCTCTTTCAGTTCATCTACCACCGTTTCCACTGTTAATTTCAACGGTATGTCCCGAATCAGACATGGTATTCGAGTCATTTTAATGAGATTGATATAATCGTCATTTGTGAAATCATCTGTATCAATTAATACATAAATGAATTCCATAAAAACGCTCGACAGTTGGAGTCTCGCCGCAGCACATCAATATAGATTTTTGCGAATCATCCAAAGCTTATTGGAGGTGCTAAAACCGCCTATTAAGATTATTTTCATATACATTTTCAGGGTTGGTTCTATAAAGTTTTATTTTTCGGCGTAATTGTTTAATAACTTTCTTTTTCCTTGTCAACAACTCTCGCACTATTGAAAAGCTACTCAGAACAATTTTTTTTTTTTTTTTAGACCTTTAACTTTCCGACTGTTTTGAAAAGAGGCGAAATTTTTCAGAATTTTTGTTTCCTTTCCAGGAAATCTAGAACTAAATATTGAAAAGCTATTCAGAACAACATTTTTTGTGTCTTTTTGCGTCATTCCGTTTGACAACTTCCCAGACAGCTTTGCTAGTTTGTGGTTTTAGGTAGTGCATTTATCGTTGGAGCTTTATTATTTATTTCTTATTGTCAGTGTGTATATTTGGTTCGGTTTTATTACTTTTGTCGCTTTCTTTGATTGCCTTTACTATCGTCTTACATCTGTTTTCTTTGATAAGTTGTTAAATTTTTTTTTGTTGATACTGTCAGCTTTGGTCGTGATTTCTGCTTCAGTCTTTTCATTATATCTGGTTCTTGCTTCCTTTGGCTTTAATAACTTTTTCAATTAGATGTTTGCGCATATTTCACGTGAGTTCCTGTTTCTCCTTCTGCAGTAATGTTATAGCAATTTACGCATTTACAATTGTCTGTTCGATCTCCTTTTTCTTATTGTAATTTATTGATATTATGCTTGAGTCCTTTTTCTTAAATTTGTGCGCCTTCGATGTTGAAAGAAACTTCCGTTAGATTTAGGAACATACATATGTATGTACATATAAAAATATATATATATATATACCGATTTGTCGTTGAAAGCTGGTCTCATCGGAGTGTAGTTTGTGTATTTTTGGTAGTGCGATAATTGAAGGTGATACAGAGTTCATTAACGTCATAACTTATGTTGCTTTGGGTTTATAATCGTCTCGGCTCCTTATATTGCGTGCTTTATTGTCGCTTGGTACTCCTCGATCGGCCCCTTTCTCAGCCCCCAGCAATTTGTTTATTTAATTAGTTGCTCTGCCGTTTCCACGTATTCTCTTTTGTGAATTGGTACCGTTGTGTTCTCTTTCTTCAGGTTTTATCTTAGAATCCCGATTATTTTTCTCTCATTATACTGTTTTTTTTTTTTTATTGAATTTGTGCCTCTCCTGCACTCCCTTCCTTTTTTTTATAATATTCGATGTTGTATTTACGGCCGCTCTCACTATTTCTGCAGCTTTCTCCTTACCGAAAACTTCTGTGAAATTTACAAATATTGAACTGAATTAAGATTTTATTTATTTCGGGTTCTGAGAGCGGTTTATTTCTCGTTGAGGTTGTTGAGTGTTCTGGTTAGTAAGCGCTCCGCTAACTAAAAATTCCATTTCTCTCACAAAACCAAAACGTTTACTATTTATGCTGGTACAAATTCGGCAATACTCTACCTACTCATATTTACCCAACCATAATATTCCTTTTATTTCTTTCGATATCTATTTCCTTCCTCTTATTTCTGTACTAATTATTTCCGTCGTCTGCGTTTTTTTTTTTTGTTGATTCTTTCTTAGTTACATGTTTTGGCTTTTCTCCAGCCGCTATCACGCCCGCGTTTTCATCGATATGTCATTGCCGTCAAGCGTGACAATCGCATTTATACATTTGTGGTTTGTGGCGATAAATCCTCAATTGGTATGAAATTGGTTAATTAAATAATTGAAGCAATCGTAGGACTGACTACAGCGTACCGTAAGAATGAGAGATAACGAAAGCGATGTGAAAGGCAAAATGCCAAAAAATATTATATGCGGCGTCATGCACGTTATTTATTAATGTTAAAATTGATTTAGAGATGCTGGTACTGATGGCATTTGAGCATACAAAAAAATATAAAGCATTTACTGGTATCAAAACGGTAGATAAACCATTTTCCTTGAATTTTTCGTGTTCTGAAATTCTTTTTTCTAGCTTTTTAATTTGGATATGCAGTTCTGTAGTACATTCAATTTTAGTATAATAAAATACAAGTTTGAAGTAACTAGGACTTACTGTTTTTTTTGGCTTT